ATATGGTAAAATATGGGACATTGTTGGTTCGAAGTAAATTAATCAAAGAAGAAATGCATAAGTGACGCAATAATATTTTGAATTTTAGGGAGATGATTAGCAAAAACAAGTTTTATACCTGCAAATCGAACATATTAAAGGCGCAAACGTAGAATGGAAGACCAATCAATGCCAAAGTAGGGTTCTTTATAGACACCAGATGTTTCCAAAGGTGCGTGACCATGTTGGAATCCACTCGGACTCCACAGGACTCGGCGAGAAAGGGGAAGCTGTACTTGTAACCTTTTGAGGTTGAAGAGAATGAGTGTTATTTTAATTGTTAGAATGAGACAATATCCATAATATTTATCATAAGGATGGGAGAAACTCTACCTGTACAATAGAAGATGACATCAATCTGCTCCTTCGTCCCGTCCACAAAAACCGCCTCGCGTTCCGTCAATTCCACTACATCACCTTTCTGTAGAAGAAACCGTCACGGTCGCTTAAAAAGTAGCTTTGCGATTGTGCCTTATAAGTATATTTGACTTTGAAAAAAGTATCTCTGCGAAAAAAATATCTCTGTGATTTTACTTTGGATTCGCGCTTTTACCTGCACGACATTCTCGGGAAACACAGTGTCGATGGTCTCAGTCAGGTGATGACTCAAAATCACGCGATTCGCATTCTTGGATATCTCCAACGCCAAATCCATACCTACTCGAAACAGAAAAATGTTACGTTTTAATCATCGCAAGAATAACTTAAGAATAATTCTAAGATTTTTTGTATGTCGTTCCTACTTCTAAAAATAAGTATCCAAAAAACGTTCTTTTATAACGTAAACTTTTATAACGTAGCGAAACTTTAAGAAAACTAGAAGGAAAAGATTAAAGTCATAGAAGGAAAATGTTAATAATCGCTGGCATTGCGAAAAGAAAGTATTTCGTTCAAAAAAATAAATAATTTCGCGTGTACGTTGTATGTACCGGAAGGACCAGCTCCCATGACAACGACTTTCTTGCCGTTGAAGAAGTCGGGAACTCTGTAATCGTGGCTGTGTATCTGCTTGCCCGTAAAGATGTTCTGGCCAGGTACGTTCGGGATCATAGGTTCAAAGTAATGGCCATTGCACACCATGACTGCATCGAACGACTCGATCGCGACCGCGTCATTCTGCAAATCCTTGACCTTGACCGACCACTTCCGGTCCCTCGCGACCGGCTCCACTAGCTCTACATGATGGAGCAGCTGGAATGTATACGTCATAACAAGTCATGCTATTATTATCTCGTCATTATTATTGTATATTTATACATATTATATAAACTACCAATTTATATGATCTATAATATTAGTTAACACGTATTATATATATTATTAGTTATACAATCCGCTATATTAATATTACCTTATAAATTAATAAAATAATATTATATTAATATATTATAATGATGTTACTAATAATAATAGTACTTAATGCATTCAAATTCATGTTTAATGATAATTCAAACGAAATATAGTCATGATATTTAATATAAGCACTTAGCGTTGCTATATTCCTTTATCTATGCACTCACCCGAATGTAAGGACGTAGCTTAAAATGATCACAATATGTATTCAAGAAATCCAATATCTGCGTGCGCATCGGATAGCTCACGGGTCCTTCCGGTATCAGAAAATCTGGATAGCCCATTACCTCCTTCGGTAGATTAGCTCTAAAATATGTAAATTAATTCTAGATATCATTTAGTTCTTATTAATGATATCGAATCATTTACAATGGATTTAAATGTTTGTAATACATATGCCAGGATGAAATTCATCGAGGGTTCATTTTTATGAAACAATGCAAAAAACTGACATCAAATTCAAGATTAAAATATTAATTGCAATTTAAATTTATACTTACTCTCTAGAGAGTACAAGATTGAGAAACCCTTACAGAAATCTAATTTAATACTGGCGAATTTAATACTTAAATATGAGTAATTGATCATTACATCTTCAAGTTAAATTTTTATGAGGGGAAAATGAAAGTTGGCTGCAAGGAATACGCGCCATACCTGAGACTCTTGTACATGCTAGTGTGAATCAGTAAACCATATCTATCGAAACCAGTTTGCTCTCGATAAACCCAAGTCCCGCCGATTTGGTCTGTTTTTTCGTAACACACCACCTGATCGCCGTAAGTACCGGAAATGCAGTGTCGGAGTGCAGCGAGTCCTGCAGCTCCTGCGCCGATCACGGCGATTTTCATGATTACGCAGTCGTTGGTCGTTTAAGCTTCGTAGAACACGAGGAATCCTCGTTGGCACTTTCAGCTATATCGGCAAGCTATTTCGTAGTTAATGAAATACAATTATGGCATAATATTCATTTTGTAATACATGGATATCTTAAACCTACCGCACTTTGCTTCTATATTTTTGATCAAAACAGAGGCAAATTTTCTCTGATAAGAATTGAAGGAATAATTGGAGCCTTTCAAAAGCCAAGATAAATTAATCATTTAAAATTAAATGCGGAGAAAATTATATATAATCTTATGCCAATTAAAATTGAGAAATTTAAAAAGTAAAATTAATAAGCTTTTTTCTGAGAGACACAATTAATATTCATTGCTGTTTATATTTTTATAGAAAGAAAAATAATTGAACATATAAACAGGATTATCATTACTTTTTTCTATCTATAATTAGATTACAACATAACATCGTTACATCTTTGCAATAACGATAACGAATTACTTTTATAGTATTACTTTTATAACAATAAAATTTAGTTTTTTTTTATCTTTATGTATTCTATTATGTATATATCTATTTATATATATCTATTCAATAGATATTATATTATTTTTTATTAGATAAAAATATAATATTTATTTGATAAAAAATTTACATTTGCAAATTAAAATATAAATTTCTAAAGATAAGTATATTAAAAAATATTAAGCATTATGCAAGATTTATTAAGATAAGTTTAATATAAAGAAGAGTTTGCTATATAGATTAACTTAAAATTTTAATATTAATATTTAATATTGATTTATTAGTAAATAATGCAATTTTTTTAATCCAACATATTTTACTTCAACATTATAAAAAGCAATGAAAAAAATAACGAATCACTTTCTAAATATGGCAATAATGAGTTATTTCTTAAAAATAGTAACGAGTAATGATAATAAACATTATTTTTATAAAATTAATGTTCCCAACCTGAATATATAATATAAGCTAACAGTAATTAAATGTATTCTGACCAAGAATGATAAGAGTTATCGATTTGTTTGAATTTACGAGAAGCCACTATCTTCTACATATTTATTTCAATTGGAATATTAATCGCAATCATAAAATATGCATTGATATCGCAGTATTTGACGAGACATTTTTTATAAATTGCGATTAAACTTATACAGAGTGTCTAGAAATAATTGTATCACCTCTTAGACAGATAAAATTAAACTGAATAGAAAAGTTTTCTGCTGTTTTGCGATTTTCTTAATAATTAATGAAAGATTAATAAAAGATCTGTGAATGAAAGCGTGCATCCGCTTATATAACTTTTCCTGTTCAAATCGATGGCGATTATTTATGGTTTCAAACGAACTGGCTAGATTTGTGAAAGGTACAGATTCAATCAAAAGTCAAACACCTTTCTTCTATGCACTTTTATCACATATTAGAGTTAAAATATTCATATATTTTCTCAATTTAAATTTACCAAAGTCAGAATACTTTTCACTTTTAATGTCGCGTCGATTGAATCTTGAAGATATGAATTAAGTTCTAAAGACAACTAGCTTATGTTAAACATAATATATGTGCAAATAGAAGACGCATGACGAAATTTGATACAACATATATACATTGTGATGTTTCATCATTGCGAAATTAAGATAAAGTTTTGATAAAGTATAATCCAGTACAGATAGTAACTCACCAATAGAAAAACACAAAGTGCTTGTAAGCCAAAAGCGAGATCCAGTAGAAGAATGCAAGATATACGTATGTCACAAGCGAAGTGAAAATCAAAATGACCAAGTGGTATAAATCATTAAAGAGAGGGAAATACGAGGCTGATACCGATAAGGTCATGTCCAACGTATTTACCAAATAAATGCGAAGACCTTCAATCTTGTTCACATACACATTTCACTATCCCTAAATGCAGCACAATACTCGATGTCAGTTTCAATTTTAAAAAATCGTTTATTCCTCAAAGATCTGCGATATTTATAAAGAGGAAATATCGAAAAGAGGAAAGAATAATTAATTAAAATATATTAAATATGTAATATAAAAAAGATGCTTACTTTACAGTAAAATATATACTTTTTATTATTTAAAATATTTATATTATTACAGTTTATTAAATATATCCTCTTATAATTAAATATAATCATAGACTTATGATTGTACAATCGTTTATCAAGTACAAATGGCAGAGATTGCAATATATTGTTGGAATTTCGCAAGTATATTTGACGTTTCTTTTTGTTAAATATGATGACTTGTTAAGGACTTGAAAGATCTCCTTAGCAACTATAAAGATGACAATTATATAATGTTTCATCTGTAGAATTATACAACGTATACAGTGGAATAAATACACTGTTAAAAATATCATAAAATTTAATGTAACTTTTAAGTTACACAAATTAAATTAATTTCATGACATTACATTAATGTATTTGTACTGAAAATATATTTGTGTATATTATACATAAAATTTTTACATTTCATAATTTCAAAATTTCATGAAATTTAATATATTTTTCACAAAAATTTTATATGGATTTACATAAAATTTAATACATAGTCATTACATTTAAGATGAATATAACTTAGTTTTCAGTTAAATCATTCAGTATTTTTCAGTTAAATCATTCAGTATTTTTTCAGTTATCTCATGATCACAAGCTTCTGTTCTTAAATTCATTACGAAATTTCTAACAACGTAGAATTAGTTTTATGTATACAATTAATATGCATAGTTTTATATATAGAATTAATAAATTTTACATATAAAATTAGTGTATATAGTCAAATAAACCATTTTATAGTAATAATTATAAAAATGACTATGTATATAGTCAAATAAATCATTTTAGTAATAATAACTATAAAAAAATTATTAAGTATGCACATTAATTCATAGAAAACTTATATAGTTGTCACCTTTAACTGCTATGCCTTTTTTCTGAATATATCATATTATTTATAAAAATCTGCTTGTCAATGTTTTCTTTCCGATTCCCACTTATTTTTATACAACATGTACAATTGCATCGCTGCCCTCGCATCTTCCACAGAACTGTGTTCACCTACTTGTATCTCTCTACCTAATAATTCGTACGCGAGCTTTTTTAGACTGGGAGTGTTTCCTTTCGATACTTGACGGAAAGGTTTGTATCTCGAAGTATCACGCCAATATCTTCTAGGATGTGACAGGTACAGTACATTGAGATCGTGCTTTAATGCGTGGCCCACTAAAATACGACCCTTCAATATATCTGCTACTTCCTTCTGCACAATATTGAAGCTTTCTCCATCTTGCAAATGCTCTGGTCGAACGCCACTGATCGCCGTTCGATAATCCACGACCTTTTCTCTTGGTTTAACGTACTTGTCATATATGCAATCACCGTATTTATTTACAATTGATACTCGAGCTATTATACTCTCCGTACCATCGCCAATTCCAACCATTTCGCAGTCCATGGCGAGCTGCTTTGTCAAAGTCTTCTCTTTTTTTACGACATCTTCCTTACTGTTTTGCTCCAGTGAATCCTGCACTTGGCATAGATATTTGTCAAGAAATATAACTCACTAATCAATAAAATTTATATTCAAAATACTATAAATATATTTACCATATGAACTGGTGTGGTGTATACCTTTTTAAACTTTGGACATCTGTGATTCTGTGATACAGTTTTTTCTCTAATGCTTTCTTCTGTCTTCGTCTTACAAAACAAATTTTTGTATATCTCCCAATTGCATCCAGATACCTTACGTTCAGTACTTGGAACCAACTGTCTTGTCGCTTTGTTCCTCTTTTTCTTGTCTGTGCTGGTTAATACATTATCCATTCTTGAAAAAGAAAGGAATTATTTTTTTAATAATTGAAATTCAAATACAACAGATTTCATAACAATCAATAAAGTAAAATAAGGGCTGTGAGCCAAACAAACCTCACAAATCTTATTTTATTTTATTCCATTATTTCTTTCTTGTTATTTTCTTCTTTAATAAACTTTAATATATATAATAAATTATAGTCACCTACTTTAGACCTAACCTATAATTTAAAAATCATCTGATATTTTTGTGTGTGTATATATATATATATATATACTATCTGATTCTGCATTTAAAATTTCGCGAAAAATAAAATGACATGTATAATTAATAACACAATTTTTAAATGTTAAAAAATTATAATATCTCGAATCTCTTATCATAACGCTTGTAGATAACAAAGTGTATAAATATAACAAAAAATCGCAAAATAGACAGAAAATTATTTTAAAATATTATTAACAATATTATTAATAATAAAAATAATTTATTACTTTGTTTATTAACGTATTTTGAAATCATAACTTACTCGATCTTATAAATATAGCTCGAAATAAATATAGCGCATTCCAACGTTTATCTTGAAATCTCGAGAACAAAACTGAACAGAATTGTACATTTATAACCTAACTTAGCAAAATACTCAACTGTGATTGGTTGATGCAATTATCAATGAATTATCAGTTGGTATTGGCAGATTTCCTAACCTTTTAAAACGTGACTTTAAAATGCTTTACATCATTGCGCACTTTTTATCGAATCTTTATAAATATTATTCTGCAATCGCGGTAATGACAAATTAAAAAATTCTTACCTGACTAGCATCCAAACAACAAAACATAGAAAGATTATTGTAAACATTTCACCTTGGCCGACAACGCCAGGTGCAAATATTTTCTCGAGTATCTTTCAGTAACTTCCGGAAATACTCCGAAAAAACATTCATCAATTGTTTGGAGGGAGAACAGACTTTGACAATTAGTGAACGATAATTTAAACGTAGTATAAGCCAATATTCATAGAGGTTTCTTATATTTTAAAACCGTCTTAAGTGCAATCAAAATGTTACAGCCAATCGCAAAGACATATTATTATAGCATCTTAGGACATTACGATTTTAAAAAAAGAATTGACTAAACATTTTTAACAATTTTTTATTAAATTTAATACAATTCACGTATTCTAATTAAACGATCCACTTAAATTGTTGTGATAATTTAACATGAATATATAAGTTAGAAAATAACACAAATATGTAAAAAAATTAATATAAAAATAAATATGTAATACACAATTTGTAAGCAAACTGGAAGCACGTTTTTTAAAAATAAAATTAACATTGATGTCAAATTATATTTATATTTTATCTTAGAATTTATAGGTTTTAAAATGCTTTTTTATATTATATTTATGTATTTACACTTATATATAAATTGTGTTATTTTGACATATCATACAAATGTTGAATATTTAATACAAAATAACATATAATCACATAATGTTACATCAACATTCAAATATGTTAAAAATTCAACACAAGAGGATTTGAATGGATTTTATACAATTACAAAATGTTTTTTACTATTTATATATTTATATAATAAATACGCTTAAATGTTTTTTGTAAAATGAAATTTAACATATTTAACATATTAACATTCATAATTGTTGGAGAAAAAAGAAAGAAAGGCTTAAATGGGGAAATTATAAAAAAGCTCAAGAAGAAAGAATATTTTGAATATTTGCAAGTAATTCTTTGCATCTGTACTGTATTACACTTTCTGCACCTACAACAAGATAGAATATGCAACATTGGAAAAAGAGAGAAAGAGAGGAAAATTAAATGTATAGACAGTTCAGTCACAGAAAACAGACTTTTCTGTATTTATTTTAAAAAAATTGTATTATAATATATTGTATTATAATATAATAAAAATCAATATTGATGTTGTCACTATGATAATATTAAATTAATTTTCTAAAATATTTATTTTTACAAATGATAATAATAATAAAAGGTGTAGGTGTAGGTAGAAGCGTGGAATGTAAATGAGGCCGCTACACCAGTACAACCGCCTAGCCAATTCATGAAATCGAATATTTAGTACGCACAGTTCCGAGGAGTTGTACTGTGAAATTTCGAGTTTTTCCTCTTTTTTCTAGACAATTGACATCATGGACGATGAGTGCAACACGACCATCAAAGATACATTCCAGGAACCACGAAAAAGGTTTTGGCTGGTGAGTACATCGATTTGTTCTTCAGTATTCTGAGCGAAACGACGCCTCTCGCAACCGACTGTAAGTGTAACCGACATTCGAATATCAATGTCATTAATGTCAGCGGGACAGCGTGTTTTCTTCTTCAATTTTTCAATCGTCACGATTAGCATGACATCGGTGTCACATACATACACATCGCAGTACAGGTGTTTATTACAGTTTTACTCGAATTATCAGACGATAATGAAATTGTTGCTGTCATTGATGTTACACTTGACATTTAAACGCTAAAATATTCTGCTACAGAGACCGAGAAAACGACTGAAGAGCGATGCGATAAGCGTCAGCTCGATGGACATATCCATGGATTCTGACATGGGTAAGAAGAAGAAACGTCGTAGAATCACGGAGGTTGCCAGCAGCATATTTTCCTCCTCTACAT